TTTCCTGCAAACTGAGAAAGCACAACCCTCTCGAGAAAGTTTCCAACGATTACCAAAAACTGGCTAATGGAGGACGTGATCACTAAAGTGTGTTTTACCAAAGAGAGAGAGAGAGAGTTTTACCATGATAAGGGCCATGACATGCTGAAACTGGGATTAACGCTTCCAAATCTTGCAAATATCTGCTTACACAAATCGACAAATCACAAATTCTACCCGTTCTTTGAAGGAGACAAGGACTTATACGAGAAAATTAGAGAAGACATGACTGGTGGTCCATCAATAGTTTTTACGCGAAAAGCTGTTATCGATCAAACTTATATCCGTAACTCGTCAATTGTTTGCTGACAATAGTTGGAATTGACTCTAGCCGATTATATTCATTCTCAATGTGTCAAGAGATGCCAACCGAACTTTACACAAGATGGGAGTTGGACTCTGAAACTGATCGATTGAAAGCTAGAGATAACAGAACAAGAAATTTCGAGAACATGGTTATGTCCTTCTATCAAGAATTGAGACCAGAGTGTAAAATTGAGAGTTTTTACACAGCCGGAAAGCAGAAAATAATTGACTGATTCCATGTTGAAGGCTACTGCGATCACTGTAAAACAGTATTTGAAGCTATGGTTTCCTACTATCACTTCTGCTTATGCCTAGAAACCCGTCTATTTTTGTCAGAACAAGCTATTGAAAGGGGAAATAAGAAGCAAGAAATGGATGAGATGAGACGAGAGTACATAAAAGAAAGAGGTTACAATATTCAAGAAATGTGGGAGTGTGCCTGGTAGGAACATTTTAACACAGATTCTTCAGTCAAGAATCATGTCAAGACAAGTTGGCTTTATGAAAGACCTTTGTCTACTGATTCTTTACTTGAAAAAACAAAAAACGGATCTATTTTTGACTATGTGCAATGCGATTTAATAGCTCCCGACCAGTTGAAGCCCACATTCTCAAATTTTCCTACAAAATTTTAAAACATATATATTGACCTCTGCCATAACCATATTGCAGAATACATGAAAAAAATCTGGTGAAGAAAAAGATTTGCTGAAAAAACCACAACGAATGTTGATTTCCAGTTTTAAATTAGAAAACTGCACAACCATTACACCCTTTCTTAACTTCTTTCTAAACTTTGGACTGCAATGTACACAAATTTTTCGGTTTGTTGAGTACACACCTGAGAAATATTTCAACAATTTTGTTCAACGCGTACACACTACGTGAGACAATTTTCGAGAAACTCGACGGGTTCAACATTCCTTACGCCGAAGAACATAAATCATTTAGCAATATAGCAATCTTTGACTTCGAATCATTTGGTGTTCCCACTGACGAATTGAGAGCAACGGAAACAACTACTTGGATTGAAAATCATGTCCTCATTTCCATCTCAAAATGTTCAAACTTGCAAGATGATCCAATTTTCTTGTGTGAAAGATCCAGAACTCCTAATACTTGCTTTTGTTTCCAACTTGGAATTCTGGCTGAAAAAAAAACAACCAAAAACTACAAAGTTTCGAATCAGAACCAAGTTTCAAGAAATCAAAAACGCTGTTATTGATCGAGTCGAAAAGATTTTTGATAAACTCAACGCTAGAACTTGAACTACAAAACTAGAAGTCTTCAATTATGAAGATGAATGTTTTGAAAACGGAGAGGAGGATGACACGTCGACTCGTTTCTTGAGAATTCAAAAAACCAGCTGATCGGCTCGAAACAGCATTTAGAGCGTTATGTTATTACCTTACCGGTGTTAGTTTCAATAGCGGTAGATACGATCTAAACCGTATCAAGTTCTATTCAATCCAGTAATTTATATCTGATAAAGAAGTTGAACCAATAGTCATTAAAAAATGCAAAATATTTCATATCGTTCAAAATTGGAGATAAAAAAATTCTAGACATAATGAAGTTTCTTGCAGGAGCAACAACATTGGATTCGTTTCTGACAGCTTATAAAGCAAATGAAAACAAAGGTTTTTTCCCTACGAAAAGTTTGACAGTCCATACAAGCTGGAATGTATAGAATTGCCTCTATATGAAACTTTTTCCTGCAAACTGAGAAAGCACAACCCTCTCGAGAAAGTTTCCAACGATTACCAAAAACTGGCTAATGGAGGACGTGATCACTAAAGTGTGTTTTACCAAAGAAAGAGAGAGAGTTTTACCATGATAAGGGCCATGACATGCTGAAACTGGGATTAACGCTTCCAAATCTTGCAAATATCTGCTTACACAAATCGACAAATCACAAATTCTACCCGTTCTTTGAAGGAGACAAGGACTTATACGAGAAAATTAGAGAAGACATGACTGGTGGTCCATCAATAGTTTTTACGCGAAAAGCTGTTATCGATCAAACTTATATCCGTAACTCGTCAATTGTTTGCTGACAATAGTTGGAATTGACTCTAGCCGATTATATTCATTCTCAATGTGTCAAGAGATGCCAACCGAACTTTACACAAGATGGGAGTTGGACTCTGAAACTGATCGATTGAAAGCTAGAGATAACAGAACAAGAAATTTCGAGAACATGGTTATGTCCTTCTATCAAGAATTGAGACCAGAGTGTAAAATTGAGAGTTTTTACACAGCCGGAAAGCAGAAAATAATTGACTGATTCCATGTTGAAGGCTACTGCGATCACTGTAAAACAGTATTTGAAGCTATGGTTTCCTACTATCACTTCTGCTTATGCCTAGAAACCCGTCTATTTTTGTCAGAACAAGCTATTGAAAGGGGAAATAAGAAGCAAGAAATGGATGAGATGAGACGAGAGTACATAAAAGAAAGAGGTTACAATATTCAAGAAATGTGGGAGTGTGCCTGGTAGGAACATTTTAACACAGATTCTTCAGTCAAGAATCATGTCAAGACAAGTTGGCTTTATGAAAGACCTTTGTCTACTGATTCTTTACTTGAAAAAATAAAAAACGGATCTATTTTTGACTATGTGCAATGCGATTTAATAGTTCCCGACCAGTTGAAGCCCACATTCTCAAATTTTCCTACAAAATTTTAAAACATATATATTGACCTCTGCCATAACCATATTGCAGAATACATGAAAAAAATCTGGTGAAGAAACAGATTTGCTGAAAAAACCACAACGAATGTTGATTTCCAGTTTTAAATTAGAAAACTGCACAACCATTACACCCTTTCTTAACTTCTTTCTAAACTTTGGACTGCAATGTACACAAATTTTTCGGTTTGTTGAGTACACACCTGAGAAATGTTTCAACAATTTTGTTCAACTTGTTGTTGATGCTCGACGAGAAGGAGACGAGAATCCACATTCTGGAGTTGTTGCTGAGACGAGGAAACTTCTCGGTAATAGCTCGTACTGTTATCACATTATGGGCAGATACAGACAAAGATCTCGGCAATGAGAAGACACACAATGCAGTATATGATAAATTTTTCAAGCTTTCAAGCAATTGAGCAAAAAAACACTTAATTGAATTAGAACTGTTGAAGTCAGCAATCAAACATAGAGAACCAATTATTGTAGGCTTTTTCATTCGTCAATATGCCGAACTTAGAATGTTGGAGTTATACTACAATTTCTTCCACAAGTATGCGATGAGAAAAATTTCGAGGAATTGGAGATTGACACGGACTGTTTGTATCTACCATTAGCAGAAGATAACATAGACGATTGTTTATTACCTGAGAAGAAAACTCAGTAGACACTGTTTCGTCGAAATGATTGTAGAGGCGACTTTATAGCTAATGCATAGAGGAATTTTTTCCACGTAAATGCTGCCCTGTTCATAAAAAGCATGAAAAACGTTAAGCTGGATTATTCGACGAAGAGTTTCGCTGTACTGAAATGTTGTGCCTGTGCAGCAAGACGTATTGCTCCTATTATAGTAAAAGCGACAAATTTAAATTTACTAGCAAAAGACTCAATTAAAGAACGCTAGAAGATACTGGGGATGAATCAATGTCCAAATACAGATGAGTTCTTGATGAAGCTGTAAATTTCAAGTCGACGAATCGCGGATTGAAAATCTCCATCCATTTAGTCGGAACAGATGAACAAACTAAAAAAGGACTCAGTTACTTTTACCCGAAAAGGGAAGTACTTAATGATGGAATACATACTAAGCCTTTGAACCTGTAAATTTAACCTGAAAACTGCAGTAAAATTTTGTACGATGCAAGGATTTTTATGTTATTCAACTTTTCAACTGTAATATGACAATTTACACTAGTTTAATTTTTTTAATGAAAAACTTCATTTCTTCTTCGGCGCTTCAGTTAGGTTTCAGCATAGTTTCAGACACTTTAAATATAAACTCAAATGGTTTAGAACAATATCAAAAAAATATCTTAGTCCTTTGAGAAAACTATGCCCTATCGGATTGGCGCCGAAAAATTTTTCTGAAACTTACCATCTCAAACCTATGGTAAAACCTATAACCCATCTTAATACATAGGAAATCCATTCGCTATCTTAATACATTGGTTGGTGACCGGATACTCCATTCCCTAATTTAATACATAAAGGTCACCGCTCACCCTCCCCCCTCCTCCTCACTTACGCCTCAACATATACTACTACTAACAATAATATTCTCAAGCAACTTGAGGGCCTCTCATTCAATTTCGGTTTTTAGTTCTTTACTTTAACCTTTTCATCTAATTTCTTTTGATCTGATCAAAGCTTTTACCGCTACTAATTGTTGCCATGCCCTTGAAGTCAAATCTCAAACTGCAATTTGCGAGATTATTGCGACCTAACTTTCCGGTTTTTTTATATGAGCAAATCCAAGTTTATTTTTTTCTTGGAGCAAACATAGAAGTATAAAGCGAAGTTCAAAAAACAATTTTTATGGAAAAATTTTAGTCGTAAAGTTTTTATAAATGGAAAAAGCTTATCATACTACGCGCAGTTTTCTGTACGTACGGAATTGCATGAATAAAATTATTTATATATGGTAGTTAAAAGAAAGTTGTGAGATGTCGACATCATGAGAAAGTGAATATTTGTTTCTTCAAGGCAGGTTTGTTTGAACTACAATGTATATTTTATTGTTACTTTCACCACTACACGCAGATACAGAACCATGATAATTCAGTTTGGTTCTAAAACATTCTGGAACTCATAACTTATAGATGGTGTAATACTAAAACATCGTTTGTACAAAATCAGCTCGACAAAACATGTAAAAACTGATATAACTTCAGTTGATTTGGATTAATAATGCCTTTCAAATTGGTACAAAAACGATTGAATATTATTCTCTGCTATACATTTGTGTCCGAGCGAGCTTAGTTTTCTCGTCTATTTTTGTTGAGTTGTTGTTAACTAATAATGGGGGTAGGATCCAGCTCGGGCAAGCTCTCCTTCGTGCCCCAGGGGGGTCTGTGTCCGGGGGAGAAGGTGAAGGTGGGGGTGAATAAGCAGAGGCTACAGATCCTCCAGAAGGGACACGGAGGCTACAATGAGGAGATGGATTATATCCTGGACAGGCACCTCCTGCTAGAATGTTAGTTTAACCCTTCTCAACTACCATTTTCTGAATTGCTCTGAAACATTCGGAACTGTTCGTTTAAACAAAGTCAGCATTTATAATTCGACCAAGTTGGAAAAAATAGCTTGAGTAAATTCCATGGGAACTACAAAAAAGTTCGCATCATTTAGCAAGCCAAATAAGCACATAATACAACAACTCAAAAAGTTGATAGAACAAATTTCAAAATGAAACTTAATATATCTGGTCATTAAAACGTCTTAAAATAATTTATGTCGGAAGGACTTCGCTGGAATTTTATTAGAATCCAGTAAAAACGAGGTGTAAGCAATTTCTTACTGTCCTTTGACGGTATCCGTGACTGTATGACAAACACTAACGTGACTGTGACTTATGCAGGCTTTGACAAGGACGGAGATGCGATGGTGTCGTACAATAATGGGAGGGGGTTCTACATCAACTCGCAGGCACTGCAGAGGGTTGGGGAGAGGGAGGAGTTGCAGATATGCTGTGGGGACAGGGTGCAGATTACAGTGGACGACAAACAGCACACGGGTCAGTTTTTACTTAGAATATATGATACGTCAGTTGATACGTCAGTTGAACGAACTGGATACCACAGTTCTCATATTGGCCTCATTTTTAACATTCTCATTCAAGCATAAAATTTAGATTCAGTCATAAAAATCAACCATCCATCTCTTTATACTCTAATTTTGCTGAAATGATCCTCAGAAGAACAAAATCAACGTCATAATCAACTGTTACTAAATCAAAAACTCATTGATTAGATCGGTGATTAGATCGGATTTGATGATTACTCTAGTTGCTTAAGGTCTGCACTGGTTGGACGAGGAGCCAGCAAGCGTGGGATGCAGCTCTCTGGTGGGGTGCAAAGGGGTAGTCTTCAACGTGGAGGGTCCCTTCATCCATACTGCCCTCATTCTACCCAATGGAACCGTACACAGAGCCAACTGCTTCAAGGAGAACCTCAAGTGGTAACAACAGTTCACCTTTGTTCGCAACGGTTTGCATTAAACTCAACTGTCGAAAAAGTTCATATGCTTAAATTGATATTGCATTCCAGTGTAACTTCAACCTTTAACTTTAAAAACGTTTGTCTTCAGACTCTGTGACGGTAAAACACTATTTTTTGCTTTTTCGAAGCCAGGCTTGGCGTGCATATAGGTCATTTGAAGAAAAATTATTCGATCAGCCAAATGAAGAAGCATGACGACCGACTTGATGAATGGCGACACAACAGCTGAAAAAAATTCAATCTTTAAGCAAGCACACGAAGACAAATTTAAAGAAGAGCTCAATGCATTGAAGAACATAATCCAACCAATGCAACCAAAAAACTTTAAAAAATCATGACAACTTTGAACTTTATTTTTTATCATTCTAGACATTAAGTAGGAGCTGTTAATAAGTAAAAAAAATATGAAGATTTGCAACTTAAATTCATTCAGTTATAGTTATGTCTGATACGAATCTGACCTCGAAATCATGAGAGAGTTAGAGACTCATAGATAGCTAATGATTACGCTTTTGTAAGTATTCAAACAGATTAGACATCTATATGTTTAAGTTAAGTCCTTGTTGTATCAAGTATGTTTATTAAACAGAGCTAAAGTTCTGTGTTTTAGTACTGACAGTTTTCCATGGATATCCCATATATCTGTATGGATAATATCCCCCCTTTTTCGGATATGATGACATCATCTTAAATCTGCTTTTTCCGGGATGTGTGTTCCTGTGGTGTTCTTTTCGAGTCCTGTCACCGAAGTTTTTTCCTTACTGAGGCTTTCCGCTGTTGGCGTCGCTTCGATCGCTTTCTGCTCCGTACTAGTTCGTTTTTGTCCAATTTTGTGGCTCTTTGCTTTCAGTCGGGTTTTCCTCTAACTTTGTTTTGGGAATCGAACTTGGTGCGAATCGATGTCTTTTAGAAATTTGATGCTCGGATATGTTGTAATTGTTATGGTCGGTCAAGTACGTACCTTCAGCTGACCACTTTTTGTGACGACGAATGCAATAGCTGTCGTCGGGGCTGATTGTGGTATTCTTTGTTCTGTCCTTCTTGTGGTTCTTAGTACGTAGTGGTTTGTTCCGCTCGTATGTTCTCTGGAATTTTCTGATTTAAAATGGCTTCAATGCATTCGATGTCAATTGATATGCCTGTGTGTCTTCATGGCTTGGGTTTGCATGGAATTGTGTGTCCTCCGTTTGGAATAGTTCAGTAGGCGTAATGTTGCCTATTGTGTTTCCGATATCCTAGCTGTGACTGTTTCTTTAAAAGATCAGATGTTTTCAAAAAACATATAATCAGATGTAAAGATAGAGTGCGACATATTTATCTCAAAAACGCGTACACACTACGAGAAACAAAATTTTGAGAAACTGGACTGATTCAACATTCCTTACACTGAAGATCAGAAACTATTTGGTAATGTAGCAATCCTTGACTTCGAATCAATTTGTGTTCCCACAGAAAAATTGAAAGCAACCGTGTTGTATGATCGAGTGGTTGTGTCGTCGATTTGATTAATCGGGATTGCGTTTTCGAATTTTTTGGCTAGGGTACTGGTTCTAGTCCTTGTAGAATGTCGACAGCCTATGGTGATATTTTCGACCGGCATGCGTTTGAGGTCGATGAGTTTTGCGGCTAGCGGCTGGTTTTTGGGGCGACAGTTTTACGTAGTTGTTACTGGTTTCTCGTAGTTCGGAGTCGTTCGATGACAAGGAGATTGACATGTCGCGTTATTTTTGTCTAGTTGGGATGTTAGTTCCTCCTTTTTTTCCTTTGTTTTTCGATTTGGGCTTATTTGGCTTTTGTCATAACTGATTTGAATATCCGTTGGAGTTCGAGTTCTTGTCTGTTCATTGCCTGTCTATTATTTCTTCAATGTTTTTTGGCGGTGGACGCTTTATATGCTACAAAGTCTGGGCTTTTGTGCCTAATAACGCGCGGCTGTTTACCGTCCTCCAGTTTCTACGCAGTCTTTTGTTCTATCCACGCAGTGAGTAGTTATTGGTAGATCCGTTTTAGAACACCCCAGGGCTTTTGCTTTTGCGAGATATTGTCCCGGATTTTCTAGCTACTTGTTCGATACGCTTTCGCAGTTTGGGGTCAAAATTGCGTTGTGGTCCCTCAAATCGATCTTTTACGAAGACAAGAGGCACCCTTTCCAATTTTTTTTTCTGTGCGGTTAGCTAACGGATTGGATTTAGTGTTCTTAGTGTTGCCATGTCAATTTTTGGATTTTCCGCCAGAAACTATTGTGTTACCTTTACCATATCGTGTGGTATGTTTTTTAAAGGTAGATGCGCACCTATTGTAAGAAAAATTTTTCAGTCTCTGATCAAATTCCTCATCGCTGCTATCCAGGCTAATTGGTTTTTCTGACAAGATCAAGGTGTCCGTTGTTGTTTTCTTTTCTTTCTCTGGCTTTTGACTGTATTTCCAGTCGGTTGTGATTGCGTTTTCTGGGACTGTATCCTCCACCAGTGGGTTGTTTGTTGGTTCGGGTAGGTAGGGGAACTGTTCTTTATACACAAGATTCAGCTCGTCTTCGCTATTTTGTTCCCAATTCCACATTGCTTCGGCCGGTAGTACAGGTTTAGAAAAAAAATTTTCGTCTAAAAACAAAATTTTTGAGTTTTCCCATTAAGAAGTTAGACGCTTTGTTTGATTGGCAAACAATACTTAGTGGTGTGTTGGGCTTACGCCCATAATTGGCTTCAAATGGTGCAAGCATTCGATCGCAATTTTCTGGTAGCATTCGGTGTAATACGCAGCGTTTTGTTTAATTCAGCCACATCTGACGCTGATTTATTTTGGCCGACTTTGATGAGTGACAGTCTAGTTTTCAATGTTGTAATTAATCTTTCGACCATACCCATTGAGCGGTGGTCGTCGACCGGTGCGATTTTTAATTTAATGTTATTCAGTTTTTGCAGTATATCATAAATTTTTTCGATCTGTGCCCTTGGACTTAGTCGCAACGAATGCGTCGAGGCACTCCATGGTTTACAATGTATTTCCATAAGTTTTATGATTTTTCCGCTTTATAATTAGCAACAAATGTTGCCGACACAACATCACTAGCAGTGGCCTACTCCAACTGGTATGTAAACATCTATACTGTTTTCATCTGGTAGAAGCTCCGCGAAATCCAGCTGGGTTTCTTCATTCGGTTCCACCACCGCATCAAGAGCAGTGAAGTTTTTGTTTCCAGAGATTACTTTAAGGTTTTTACCCTTTGTTCGGCAATTTTGGCAGTTTTCGGCTGTTGCTACAATGTCTCTGTGTAGGTACGGATACCATACGTGTCTAGCCGCCTCTAAGATACAGCCCTGGCCTGGGTGTTTTAAGTGTAGTGAATCTAAAATAATTAGCCTGAGTTGCTTAGGAATGACTGCCCGCTCGTCGTAGAGTAGAATTTTGTCTCGCACTGACAATCGGTTTCATACGTTATAAAAGTACGGACCGTAGCATGCTTTGATGTTCTTGAATTTCGAAGCAATTTAGGAAATCTTCAAAAACCGCTCCGACAAATGTTCATCCGAGTAAGCTGGGTGTTGAGGCTTGACCACTGGGTGACTTAAGTTTTAGTCGATTAGCCCCATTTTGCTACCTGGGAGGTGTTTGGTATCAAAGTCGAAGGGTAGCAGGCGGTCTATCCACCTTGTTAGACAGCTTTGATATGTTTTGTTAGTTTTTTTGATTTGGAGTGCACTACTAGAGAATGATGATGTGTAATCAAAGTATATCTTCCACCACATAATTACTATTTGAAGTGCTCAACGGCCAGCACCGCAGCCAGTAGTTTCAATTCGTTCACGGAATACTTACTTTGACATGTGTTAAGAAAGCACGATTCATACGCAATTGTAGCCCAGCCATCGGGTGCTTCTTGTTCGAATCCCGATGCAATTCCGTCTCCGCAGGTATCGCATACTAATCTAGGTGGACGGAACCCATAAACCCTGAAATTGCATGAATGTTTTCGGATAAAGGAGTTTTGTTATGGCTTTGGTTTTTCTGTGCATTAGTATTGTGCCAAACTCATTGATAACGATTCCTAGCCAATCCGATTTTCTACGTTAGAATTTGCACTTTTTTATGGATATGACCATGTTTTATCTAATTTATCTAACACTTTTTCAGTTTCTCCATGTGGTGTTCTTCTGTTCTGTGAGATATAATCAATACATCATCTTAAGACGCGAATGTGTCATTTTCATTAATCGATGTTAGATCAATGGCTATCTGGAATTCTGCGGGCATATCCATAAGCTCGTAGAATCCAATTTGGAACTGATATATTCCTGTCACTTGGCCTTGGAATATGTTGAAATTACACAGCGTTCTAGTTGTATCATTTAGTTATAGTTTACTGTATGCATACCGGAGATAAAGAGTTGAAAAAAGGTAGTACCGAGCTCGGATTGCCTGCTTGTACCGATTGAGCTACGTTGTCGAAGAGGAGGTCTATGTTTGGCATTTGATATTTGTTTTTATGGAGTGTCTTGTTTGTTTGTTTTGAATCCATTGCCAGTTTAAGAGTTTTGTTTTTTTGAGCTTTACGATATGACCCTGGATGTGGATTGATTTTCTCCGTCATAATCAATTGCTTGTTTAAGGGTTTTTGTCTCCGCCAGTAAGGTTTATTGCACCTCATCTATGGCTGTATATAAGTCGCTCTGTAGTCGCTTAAGAATTTCGTAGTGAGCCATAGGCCAAAGTCTGTTGTTTCTTACCTAGTTGGATATTGTTTTGTCTAATGAGTTATCATCCCCGACAAAAATTGCTGACTTACCACGTGGTTTTTGTTGGTGAAATTGGATGCCAATTAGGGTTAAAATTTTTCTATCGTGGTTGTTTGCCCTCTTGTCGTCTACCACGATTAAGGATGCGGTGTTGAATGTCCAGCCTCCTGATGCAATTGGGGTGATAATCCCTCCAAAAGGTAGTGTTTTGTACCCGCTGTAGCAC